ATATGTGGTGGCAGGGTGATGAAACACCGAGCAAGAAAGTGAGCTTTGTGGTCTGCCGCTCAAGCCAACAAACAAGCACATCTCATTTGGATTGCCAAGCGTTGGTATATAATATACACTTGCTGCTTGCTATTGGCTTGTCATTTCGTTCCATACAGGCTCAAGTGACAAGTTATTTGGACTCAGAGGAAAGACCACACCACGCCATGGCCAGTGATAGGCTTGAGCTAGAACATGATTTTTTGGACAATGCCAAAAGCTTCAATTGGGCTGCGGTGAAAGACCTCCTGAAGGAGACGCCTGATTTGATCAATGTCCAGCCTTCAATGCGATGGACTGCTCTGCACCAAGCTGCTTTCGATGGCAATGCTGATATTGCGGCTTTCCTTCTGGAGAAAGGCGCAGACCCTCAAGCCCTTACGCGCTCTGGCCAAACCGCTTCCGAAGTAGCCAAGAACGAGGCGGTGAGGCGGGTGCTTCAAAAAGCAGAAGGAGACGGGGAGGGAGAGGCAGCGGCAGAAGCTGGGCCTCCGAAAAAGAAGGCAAAGAAAATGCGCAACTATCAACTCAACATCAACAATGCAGTGGACAAGGAATATGAAGGAAGCAGCCTCAGCGACATTGCTGCCGCTCCAACCTCAGCTTTGCAAGGTGTGGCGCAGAAAGGGCGAGATGTCCTCAAGAAGTTTAAGGTCCACACCATCAGTGACTTGGGAAATTGGAAGTTCTACCGCATTTCAAAAGCAATCCTGGGCTTGTCCTCGCTGGAACAAGAAGGAAAGCGAGAAGAAGGAGCAGCCTTGAACATAAACAAGGCCTTGGACAAAAAGCATGAGTGCAAACATTTGAAAGAGATTTTGGAACTTCCCCCATCAGCCTTGCAGGGTTTGGCTGGCTGGGCTGATGCGGAGCTTGCAAAAGTAGGAGTCACGACGATCGCCAAGCTGGGGGATTGGAAATATGCGAAATGGGCTGAGTGGATTTCCGAGCTCTCCGAGTTTGAGAATCTCGACTTTGCCAGCCTTTGAGCAGCTGAGTCCTCCTACTTTGAGCTGACTCTCGATTGAATCTATAACAGCTGAGAAGAACCGAAAAGCCGCACCAGAGAACCGACAGATGTCCCTAGTGAGTCCTCCTGACAACAGACCAAATTCTGCATCAAAACACTTCAACTTGCACCAGGATGCAGATGCAGATGGTCAGGCCTCTCAGATTTCCAAGATCCGCAATGGCACTGGTCTCAGTGAATGGCAAAAACTAAGTGCCTTGCTGTATTATGTTGTATTATTACCCTCAGTGTAGTTCCCCACTTGAGGCACTGGCTTTGTAGCTGGAGAAAACTTGCCAGAAACTGACGACGATGAGGACGAAGAGCCGCACATAACGACTTACACAGTGAGATCCTCCACTGTTGAGGATCCTCCTTTCCAGCCGGGGCGGAAAGTAAGCTTTTCTCAAGTCCTAGGCTTATGATTCATGACAATGCTTTTGCAAGCAATGAGCCCGACAGGATCATATGCGTTTTGTTCCCTCAAGCACCAAGCCTCAGGAACCGGGTGTAGACTCAGAGACCGCAAAGGCGATGAGGAAAGGCCAGGCTGCTTTTCTTTTTCTCAGGATTCTCTCGAAGCACACTGCATTATGGTTTCCGACCCTAAGATGTGCAGATCGGGTCCCCTAAAGAGATGATTCTTTAGGTGAAAGTCAGGAGGTGAGATACTTTGCCAGGAAGAGAGGAAATAGCTGCGGCCAGAATTCATCCCAAACCACTATGGTAAAACCTGACAAAGCCTACATTCCTGTTTCATTCCTGGCAATGGGATTGCAAGGCCAAGCCAAGAAGCCCAAAAACAGCAGAATGAAAGCTATCCAAACAAGAACAATGTTTGAGGTAAAGTCCTCAGCGTAAAGCGTTGCTTTTTTAAATGTTCTTTTGCATATTTATTTCTCCTTAGGCCTTGGCGCATTTGCCTGAAATTTTGAGTTGTTTGATTTTTTTAAAAGTCCTTTTAATTGTTTCTTTTCTGGTTGTGAAACCTCCCATCCGAAAAAATATAGGCTTTGGTATTGGAGTTGGGTTCATGAAGGGCACTGTACACAACAAAGTGGTTTGACTGAGTTTCAGCTGCAGTGGTCACTTCTGTTCTGTAGCTTCTTTTTGACAGCCTTCCTGTGTATAAAAAACCTCTCCTGTATTGTTGTTCAGGCCTCTCCCCTGTATGAGGTTTCTCCCATATTCAACACCCTCATGTGTTGCACACATATGATTGTTTGGGCAAGCATGCCCTCCTTTACAAGAGTTGTTTGCACAAACAACAAGTGTTATTTTCCTTGAGACATGTTTTCGTTGAACAGGCACTCTCCTCCAAACAGCCGATTTACTCCTTTGTGAATGCCTAGGACAGCGTCCCTGGTGTTATTCGGGTCGCTTCGCGGCGACAACCCACACCATTGGCTCTTGGGGGGCCAAATGTAGTTTCTTGTAATCACTCTAATCACTAATCACTCTTTTTTTTTGTCCTTTGAAATTGAACATTTTCCCGGGGCCAAGATTACATCCAACAATGCTTGCAAGTTGCAAGTAAGACAAAACTAAACAATTTGGAAGAGAGTCCGAAACTAAACAATCCACTGCAGGCTCTGTTCATCTCTAAGTCTTGTCTCGATCATGCACATTGTGTAGCTTATTGTGTTTAATCACTCTATTGATCGACCTCCTTGAAATCGTGCATTTTTTTGGTCAGCGGTCCAAATAATATCCATTTGCAGGCATTGTTATTCATTCATTCAAGGTAGGCAGGGTCGGTGATGAGGAATTATTTGATGTCATTCATTTTAAGTGCACTCCTTGAAGCTTGCGGCTCAAGCCAAAAAGCTGAAAGGAGTGACGCTCCTGAAGAGTCTAGTGTCTCTGACTCTTCAACAGTTGTTCTTTTCCTGCGTTGCCATGGACGATCTGCACATGTGCCGTGCAGTGGAGCAGGAGCAGTTCAATGCCTGGTGCACTGCTGCTGGCATTGCGACGGCCAGCGGCCTCGTCATTTACTTCACGTCTTATGCTGGGGCGTTGAGGGAGGCTGGGCGAGCTGTGGCCGATGGTTTGGATTTGGCCCGGTGGGGGGGTGAGCCGGGCATGGCTGCCCTGGTGGGGCGCGGGCTTTTTGCTTGTGAGACTGTGTGCCAGTCCCGTCCTGCGCAACCATCTTCTGCGGCAGTGCTTCCCACATCGTCTTCGACTTCGGTGGCCAGGCCTACACTGACTTCATTTGCTGGGCCTGTCAGGCCCAAGTGTGTGCCGGACGAGCACCCGTCTGGCGCGAGGAGGGGTGTCGCCTCTTTGTTCCTCAGGGACTTGCTTGGCATTATGGTGACGCTGATGCCTCCCCCTCTGGCACGAGAACAAGAGTACCTTACCAACTCGGGCCTTTGCTTGGGTGGCTTTGCGTGAAGATGGAAGCTGCTATGGTGAAATGGGTGGTACACACCTCCTGAGATACATGGAACATTTGGGCCTTCAGTTCCCTGACTATCATGCTCTGGCTTATTCGTGCACATCATGGCCCTACCAGAGTCTACACATGCCTGGGTTGGATGATCCGGAACTTGTGGGTTCCTTTGGCCCTCAGCATTGGAGCCAGGCATGGTGTCTCCTCGGGCCCTTGAAGAGGCGTCGCCTCCCACAAAAGACGGCGGGTGGCCCCTGCTTCTGCGGCACTGCGTGTGCCAGCCAGCCCGGCTCAGGTGGCGCCTACAGCCCCCGTCAGGGGCCCGGAGTTGCTGGCAGTTTCCGTCACGAAAAGCCGCGGGCGCCCGCTGCCAAGGCCAGACCCCCGCCGCCTGCGGGGAAATTGAACGCGGCCTCAGATGCAACATTCGATGCTGCCGCTCGTGAGCGTCGTTGGCGACGACCTGGGTACAGCGGCAAGGCTGAACCTCCTAAGCCCTGATACCCCTCGGCAATGGCATTGCGAAGCAAGTGCTGGTTGCTGCTTTGCAGCGGCAATGCGGGGGCATTTGCCGGTCACTGCATTTCGTCTCAATTTGCAGTGGCAATGGGGGTGCTATTGCTGGTCACTGCCTTTCTTTTGATGATTTTAGGTGGTAGCAGTCCGCCGTGTACCACCGGTCCTCCATGTCCTGTGGCAGCTGCCTGCTGAGTGCCACCGGTTTTTGCAGCAGTCGGCTAGGCGAAATGCTCCAGGTGATGCTGATTCAGATCTTTTCAAGTCAAACTTAAATGGCGCGGCCGAATATGACACTATATTTTTGACCCGCTGAAAAATGTGCAATTTCAAGGGACCGAAAAGTACAGTATATCCAAGAATGCTTGCAAACTGCAAGTGGGACATAACTAAACAACGTGTAAGCAGTGTCTGTTGGGGGATCTCAATGCTTTCTAAGAGTGTCCGCCTTGCTGCGGGACAGCGTGTAGGCCTTCCGTCCGGCTTGTCTCCCTTTCTCTCCCTTTGTGTTGGTCACTGTGTCCGCCTTTGTATCCCTTCTGTTTTCTTTTGTCCCCCTTCTTGTCTCGCTTCTTGTTGGTCATTGTGGGTCATTGTGTCCGTCTTGTCTCCCTTCTGTTTCCTTTTGTCTCCCTTCTTGTCTCCCTTCTTGTTGGTCATTGTGTTCATCTTGTCTCCCTTCTGTTTCCTTTTGTCTCCCTTCTTGTTGGTCACTGTGTCCGCCTTCTCTTCCTTCTTGTCTCCCACGTCTCAGATGAACTTGGGAATGCTTCTTTGTTGTCCCACCTGTAGGTCCCAGGTGGTGTAATTCTATGTCTCTCCCTTGGACAATGTCTCTCAACAAGTGTGCGCACCTTTGCAAGAGACACCCTCTTTGAAAACGCCCCACTTGCAAACACTTGTTCTAGATGCTCAAGGTGTTACGATCCATGTTTTGTTTTGGGCAGTCTCACCCTTTGTAAGTTATTCACGCCCATTCCCAAAGCCTTTATTGTTTCTTATGAAATGCTACAAGCGTAGAGAAAGATGAGAAAGTGGGAAAGATGCATTTTTGATATGACAGATTTGTAGCAGCTGTCTTCATAAAACTACAGTTTCCTTCTTTGCACTGCTGTCATCCTGGCAAAAGTTTTGGATCTCGTCCTCCACAGACTTCTTCCTATCCTTCATTTCTTTTCAATAACCATTCTCCCCAGGAACAGTTTCTCATCTTTGGTTGGTGTGCCTCCCTGCCCCCCATTCAAGACCTCCCCTCATTGTAGAAAACAAGTATCCTTCTGTATAGATAGGTGATTTCCCCCAACGAAGTTTTATCGTATTTCATCAAGGTGTTGAGTCTCTTCTCTTCTCTTGTTTCATCCTGAATATTTGCATTTCGACTGGGTCTCAGACCATTTTTGGAAGTTTTCCAGTGCGTATGTAAACTCTTGTTTCTAGAGAATTCCTTTTCAACATATGGGCCTTTTGGTTTTGTATTCCCTAACCACTCTCGCAGCTATGATGATTCCATCCCGCTGATTGATCGGCTTTGACCGACCTCGCATGTTCGGATAAATACCTCCCACAGCCCACACCAGACAAATTTCGAAGCGGTGCCCATATATTAAACCAAGCTCTTTGAACCAAGGTGACTTCGTGGCAGTTGTTAGGTCACTGCATGAAGTGCGTGGAAGCAAGCTGCAGTTGGCAGGCACTGGGTTCGTGGCCATGGAGAACCTGCCGGATTCCGACGAATCTGAGGATGAATTGCTTGAAGAGGCCGGAGACACGGAAGTGTGTGCGTGTGCATAAAGAAATAGGCGGCGCAAGCTTTGGATGGGACCTTTAGTTAGTTAAACCACTTCGTGGGATTTGCACAATTTGCCCGAAAACTGCAAGACAGTTCAATTGCCCCAAGATCTGCTGGCACAAGTGATTGTACCAGGCTCCTGCAGCACAACCAGGACGAAAAGTCAGCTTTTCTTCAGCCCTAGCTCCAGCCGGTCGCCTTTTGAAAGCTTTATTCTATCATCCTTTGTGTTTGTGCCCAGGAAGGTGGTATAGATGTTCAAAAGGCACATGCCATGAGAAAAGGCATGGGTTGTTGTTTGGTGGTTTGAAGTGATGGGGTGTGCATAGCTTCAAGTTTTTTTGGTGATTTGGTCGTGCTGAGTGCAGGCACTGGGTTTGTGGCCACGGAGAACTTGCCAGAAACCGACGAATCTGAGGGCGAAGGTGAAGGCACCCGAGAGATAGAGGCAGGGAGAATTCCTGAACCATCCTGAACCCATTCTTTTTTCATTCTCCCCCCGCCAGATTTTGATGTGAACTTGGAAGGTTCCTACAAATCCACCTGAGCGGAAAGTGAGCTTTTCCCAAGTCCATTCCTTGCGATTGCTGCATGTGAGCACTCTCAGTCTACCTCTCTCCAAGGAAGTTGGCATAGATGGCCTGCAGGCCAATACTTTGAGAAAAGGCCAGGCCTTACAAGATTTTCTTTTGTGATTCTCGTCTTGCTCGGCTTCTTGCAGCAGTCGGAAATTGGCCAGTGCAACCGCGTTTAGGCACTGGATTTGTGCCCATGGCCAATCTACCTGATTCGGAAGATGAGGAGGCTCTCACTTTTTTGCCTGTTTGCGTGGATGTTGGTGTGTTTGGGTGAAAATACGTCAGTGTCTAGCACATAGACACAGAGGCCTTAGTATTCGCGGCGGGGCCAGGAAGAGGATGACTGCGATTACGAGGAAGATGACTTTGATCCGGAGGACTTGTGTGACATGTCGTGTGAGCTTCGCGTCCCAACAACGCATGTGTTTTGGATTTGGTTTTGGCAGCTTGTTCAAGTATGCTCAAGCATCCTGGAAGGCATTGGCCTGGAGAGCGGTGTTTTCCGGTCCAGGTTGACAATATAATACTGTACTACTTACTTATTTATTTCTGGCGTAGGGAATCAATAGTTGAGCAAGCATTACGGATTATCAGTAGTTGAGCAAGTCATCAAAGTCATGACGGCAGACATGCAGCCAAATGGTGAAGCATTGCATGTGAAGGCTATGTGCGAAACACGCATGAGTGTGCAGAAGGTTAAAATAGAACCTAGACCAGTTTGGTTTGGTATGCGTATGAAACATGCGCTGTGGACATTGACAAATTGAGGACAGCCCAAAGACCACTGGCAGTGAGGCCTAGATTCTGCATTGGGGCAGCGCACCACACGAGTTTGACTGAGAAACAACACCTACAACAATCACTTATCTACTGTAATGAAGCTGGAGCCGTGAGAAGATCAGATATAGCGAGTTCTGATCTCCAATTTGTGCACACCAAAGGTGTGCATATGTTGTTTCACGCCTAGACGGTCCCTTTGTGGCCCCTATTTGATAGCTCAAAGAGGCCAACATTGCAAGTGGTTGATGAAACGATGCCGTGTCATAATGGACTATGAAACATCAGGGTGGCCGTGATGCGGCTAAACCTGCATTGGTGGGACAATTCCTGCAATTTTGGGTCTCAAGAGCATGCCGAACGCATCAAAATGCCAGGCATCACTTGTCGTTTCTGCAACTGGGGCAGCTGCACATCTCTCCATATGCAGTCAAGGAGCCACAGTTCTCTTGCAGATCTTCCAGCATACCTCGCTCACTCTACGTCATAGTCGTTTGCGTAGTCCTTGTTGTTGGTCAACCTTCGACTCCATTGGCCATGGACGCCGTGGCCAGCTCTCCATTGCGAGAAACAGATGGGGGCAGTGATGACGACCTGGTCCTCTAGCTCAGCTTCTGTTCTGTTTTCGTGCTGACGTTGCTGCTAATTCAGCTGGCTGGCTCAAGACTTAAGAGCCTTTGAAGGTGTTTGGGAGCACAATGCCAAATAATGCAGAACCAGTCTGACAGGTACCTCTAGCATGGGGACCAGTATGTTTGATGCTCAGTGAGTCACGTATGTTGAAGTGCCATTAGTAAAATGCAAGTGAAAGAGGAGGCATCCATAGTCTATAAAGGGGTTTCGATGCAGTCTCACGACTTGGGGGATGGCCGCAGCCTGGTGCACGTCAGTGACATGACCCCAGATGGAACGTGAATCTGAAAGTGAAAGCGAAGAGGGCGACGTTTGTGGTATCATCGAAGCAGATGGGTTATCGCTCGAAGAATTGCCGGTACATCAAGGCGGGGCAAGGGAAAGAATATGTTAGGCAAATATAGCTAGGATGCTTCTCAAAAATCTGGAAGTTCATTACTGTTGCCTTAGGCCTTAGACCCGGTCCCTTGGTCCGCTTGCTGGGTATTCTTGGTGTAGGCTGTAGGGGATTGAGAGACTTGGCACGACGAAGGTGCAGCCAAAGGCACATGGCGAGTATCTGTGCTACGTGTGCTGTCACCAAGACCGCCGATCATTGAAGATGAAGATGGTGATTTGGCCATGCCGCGGACAGAACTAGGAGGAGAACTTCCACCAGGCCGATGTCACCACAACATGCTTTAACTCAACTACCTACAATCAACCTTGCTACTTTTTCCCTTAGGTCTTGGCTGTCTAAAGAGGGATCTTTGAAAAGATGCTTTGCTCAGGCCTTCTGGATTGGCAAATCCAAATGGCTCGTTTGGCTTCATCCCGGCTGGAACGAGTAGGTTTGCAGCTGTGGGCTGGTGCCTTGGTTCTGAGTGATTTCCTTTTGGCACGGCCATGGCTGCTACGTGAGCGCCACGTCTGCGAACTTGGCGCAGGTCTGTCCTGCCACACCTTGATCTACCATTTGTTTTCTTTTTGTGGCATTCTTCGACAAGTCTTGCAGTCTTGGGGTTCCTTTAACGACTTTAATGGGTCTTGCTTTGGCATGGTTATATATACATTGATTATTTTCTTACTTCTCCTCCTAGTGGTGCCGCGTCAAGCGAGTCTTTTCCAATGGAGGCCTTGGCCTTTGCTCTCTCCTTGCCTGCCGCTTGGGTGCAGCCTCAGTACTTTGCACAGACGGCCACCTGGAAGCAGTGGAAAACTGCAGGCAGAATCTGCAGAGGAATGGTGTCTCCGTGAAGGATGCAGAATATGCAGAGGCAAACCGAGAGGATGCCAATGTAAAGACTGTGAAGGTTGAAGTGCTTAGGTGGGAAGATCCACCCCCCATGGAGGATGATGTTTGGGCTGCAGAAGTGCTTCTTGCAGCGGATGTGATCTATGATGCTGCTGCAGCCGAAGCTTTTGCAAAACTGGCAGCCAAGCTCCTGAACACCAAGGCAGAGAGACTCTACATGTCTTTGGAGAAGAGGGTCTATTTCTCGTCAGCTACATTCAAACCTGAAGTCGCGGCTTATCCACAGTTCCTGGAAGATTGTGCAGCGCTTGGCCTTGAAGTTGAGCCAGTTGATTTGTCATCAGTTCCAGTCCACTTCAATTATGTCCGTTCTCGGTTTTACGAGCTCGTTACCATCACTGCAAAGGGGCGAGCGAGCGTGAAACGGAAGCAAGAGCATGCGACAGAGGATGTGCAGTCTGGTGAAGGTGTCAACTGAGCCTGCTGAAAAAGACGCCCCTCTCTCTATATATAACTATCTGTTATATATAACTTATATAACTATCTATATATAGTTATATATACAAACACCGATACCTACCCCGATACCTACCTACCTACCTACCTACATACATACATACATACATACATACATACGTACATGTTTTGTGCTTGGCATGGCTACAGTCATTCCCCTTTGTTGCGCACTCCACTGGCAAGCGCCCAGGCGGGGACGGATTCTATGAGCTTCAAGATGAGAATTGCGGAAGCCTTGGTTGTTCATAGTGCGTTCATGTGCACTTTGTGACTCACAGCCCGCGAGGTCCTAAAGATTATGAAAGCCGAGCTGACCCAGAATTTCGAGTCATACGGAAACAGGCCCTTGGATGCGATGAATCGGAATTTGTCAACTATTGTGTTTGCACCAGAGCTCTTCAGAATGGATCCTTACGCTCTGGTCCACTGGGAAGATGACGAAGCGCTTGCCGTAGAATTACCACTGTCACTTTCATTCAACAGTTATGTCGAGCTACGAAGGGAGTCGCCGGAATGCGCTTACTGAGGACAGCTTTGAACTGACCAAGACTCGTGTAGCACCTTGACCCAAGTTGACAGAGACACGACCCCAACCTTGGGCTCCATTCAACCTAGCAGTTGCTTTGAGGACTGGAATGCTCACATGAACCCTGTGTGGGAGCACACTTGCCAAGACCTCTGGGCACATAAACGTCGTTGAATTGCTGAAAAAATCAATGTGGGCCGCTGAGGCCGTCCACAACTGTACAAAGGCCTGCACCCTAAAACATTGTTACTATATAGTAGTAACAAGTGCCTTACTAGTAGTAACAAGAAGCTATTTAGAAACAATTGTTTCCTAATAGCAAACATTGTTACTACTAGTAAGGCACTTGTTACTAGAAGCGATGCACTTGTTCCTAGTAGCAATTATTGTTTCTAAGAAACGAAAGCCCTAGAAAGAGTTGAAGCTTTTCTTTATTCCAGTGGCCCGTCTGAGGAAATGCCACTGTGCGAATAGAGGCTAGGATCTATGAGCCGCTGTATGGGTACTGTATCTACCTTGCGAACCCTTGTGGTGCAACACTTTCCAGGTCGTAGAGGCAAACATGGTGGGGCCTTCCACTTTGTGTGGCCACAGTCTCAGTTGACAGACACTCAAAGAGGCAAATTAATAGCTGGAGCCTGTGCCAGGTGAGGCCACCTGCAAAGCTGTCCACACCTCATTGTTTGCGTTCCCTCAATGGGCTGGTTGAAGTCAGTTTTAGATTTTTTTTGGGGCAGGCTTGAGTCCTGCATCATACATGTTTGACCAAGGAAGATTTAGTGAGCCAACTGCCAGCTCCTGGAGTACCAAGCACCTCTCAGGCACGTGGTTGAAGGGAAAGGAGAACAGATGCACAGCCATATTATGATGCATGCCAAGAAATCAAGGTCTTCAAAGAACACAACATTTGGTTCTGGCAACTGCCCCGGCAGGCAGCCATGCATGCGGAAACCTCGCTGCCCTTGACCTTGAATGGCAAGGTGGTCAATGGAAAGCTTTCGGTTGTCAACGATTGTCTTGCAGTGCAAGGAGACGGGCAAGGTTTGTGTACAGGCAATGCTTGCCCGGAACTTGGAGTGCCGCTGAACACTGACCATCGTAGGTCAGGAAATGCGTCCCAGGAGGATTTTGAGGAACTGTAATCGATCGAGGTTCTTGTAGGGTTGTAGGGTTCTGATACGTTGAATGTGGGAAATGGTGATGCGACACTTGCCACGAGTGCATATGAGTTGATACATTTGGCATTTGGCCAGGTGCCACACACAAGAGGTGCGCACAGGGAATGGGCCCAAAGCCAGGAACTTTCTCAACTTCCTGCGGATTATTGCGGTTTTTCTGTCCTTGCTTTGCGGCAGGTCTCAGGCCTTCGTATTCCAGAATTGAAGCGTCGCTGTTCGAGGCGGAGTCCGCATCTCCACCTGTGTATATATATATATATATCAATTCAAAACGTTACCCTGGATGTCTAGCAAAGACCACCAGAATCACTCTGCAGAACCCAGTGAAGCGCTTGGGCGTGTCTGGTGGCACAGCGCCTTTCTTCAAGCTAAAGTTGCGCCGGGCTTGGGTGCTTCAGAAATGGTTTGTTGTGGATCCTGAGTGGCCGGAATTCCATATACTATTCTTCTTCGTGTTTGCTAGAGATTTGACCCTTTCATCCTTTTCTACTTTTTGCCATTTGGTCCCACTCCTGATTGCAAAGCCCTGCGGCCTGTGTAGTTCCCTGAGGCTTGATGCCTCTGAGAAGCCAAAGGATTACTACATAGGCTGATGCTTTCAATGTGATTACTTGGGTTTGAGTACAAGCATAAGTGATTCTTTCAATCTGATCCAGGAAAGTTCATTGAATTTCCGGGACCATAAAATTGGCAGGCAAAGACCTAAGCAGGGCCGGCGATGAGCTGGACTTCTATGAAGAGGCCGGAGCCATTAAACTCGATGCAGCACTCCAATTCATTCGCATGTTTTGTGTCCTTTCAATTCAACTCAATGGCTTGGCTCTCACCCCCAATTCAAGGTCAAGCATTGCAGAGGCTTGCCCACAACTCAGCTTGGCTTTTTGCGTACAGCTTGGCGACATGGAGGCTTTCCTTCGCATTTCAAGATGCTTGATAGTTTCCACATGTTTCCATGAGGCCTATTGCTGCAGCGCTTTGGCCGATGCCCCAAAGAAGAGAAGTGGCTTTGGCAGTGTCATGAGAAGTATGCGGGTATTTGGGCTACTCATCTCGGGCTGCGAGGAGTTTGCTTGCAAGACGTTTTCAGGTTGAAAAGCAATGAGTAATCATTCCCCAAATGCAAGCCTCATCAATTGAATTAGGGTGTGAAGTCCGCAACAAAGCCCGCATGGCCAATGTTCTGAGGCCTTTGCTAGACTTCACTTTCGACTACGCTGGCATTGTTTCGCTTCATGAGGACTTCATGCCATGGGAGAGTCTTACAGTATACTGTATTGTATTACGATTGTTGAGACAATGCTGTGACTGTCCTTCGCAATAATGCGTTGAAAGGAGGGAAAGGAGGCAAAGAGGCCCATGGATCTTTTGGCAACTGCCCCAGATGGCCTCGCAAGCCATCGACCGCGAGCCAACTCAAGATTTGCAGGTTCTTCAAAACCTCCACTGTGGCCGCTCCCGGCTTCGGTTGCTTGATGTCAAAATTGGGCAAAAGTCGGCTCCTCAACTTCACTTTGTCATGGGTAACTATAAAGAAGCAACATATAAATATATATATACATACATATAACAATAGTATATATATAGAGTGTACATATATATAGACATATGCATACGTACATGCATGTGCCGCTACGTTCCTGACAGCAGTGGTTTAGGGTGGCCAAAGCGCTTTCCAAGGACTGCTCAGGGAGGTTGGCGGGGGAAGTCGTGCCCTGAGCATCCCAACACACCATAGCATATGCAAGATACTTGTATCCACATGCTTCCCACCCAGTCGGAATGAGCACATTCAGGATGGCTTGAGTCGCAATTGCTGTGCTGTTGCAGCAGGTCGCATGCTGCAGCATATCGGCAGGCGATAGTGGCGTTAGTCTCAGAAATCAGCGCCTTTCTTGTGTCTTGAATTTTGTTTTTGTTTTCGAAGGGAGCCCTGAATTTGCAAGGATGGCCACACCAATTCTTCTGGTGAGGGCTTCCGGCTTGAAGGCTTTGACGGCCAACCGAGCTCACTGAAATCTATGGACCGAGGGCTGGCAAATTGAGCAGAGTTCCCACACATAACATGGTGATATGGTGCTTTTGTGGATGAAGATCGTACTTGCCCCTCATAGTCTTAGACATGGAGACAGATTGTGGTTGATTTGGAATCAAATGGTGTAATTGTAGCCAGTCAAATAGCTAGAAGTGGGCCGTGAATGACCTACCAAGACCCTCACATCCGGTGCATTTTGCATTTCGCAGTCATCAATGCATTGACAGCCGCCCGCGGGGTCACACTCAATCCCGCCTATGCATAGTTTATATATGTTTATATATAGTTCACATGCAAAAGTCTGCTAAGTGGGTGAACGGTCAAGCGGTGTATTGCCTGCGAGTGCATAGTTGGAATTGTGCTGACACCCCCAAAAGCAATTCTCGCTTGTAGCATTGAGTCCTTTTGTTTCATTCTTGCACGTTTGTTTAGCGGGGGGGGATTGGGGGATTGCCACCAAGTCTCCCCTTTCCGTCAGATGCTTTTTGCGTCTTCTCAAAGTAGACGCGTCATGCATGTAGTCACAGTCCATTTGCACAGCTTTTTGCTTGCATGCTTGGTGGTCCATTTGCCAGCTTGCCTGCCTGGCTGTCTAGAGTCTATGCAGCACCTTGTGAGTACACATTCGTGCTCTTGTCGGAATCTCGCCTCTGACACCACTGTTGGCTTCCCTGAATGAATGTGAACATTTATATAACATCATTTGGAGGGGATATGATCTATTCATACCGTGCAAAACTCCACACTGGGTGAAGGACCCACTGCTCGATCTCGGGCATGGAAGCGTGCGATCCTGACAGCTCAGACGTTCGCTCTTCTCAACCGTGTTGCGTGAGCCCAGGCGAAGCTGTCCAAGAAGGCTTGATTGAGACATGTTCAGGACATCAAAACTCAAGCTTGTTCTTTGCTGGGTGTTTCAGGCTTTGCGGATAATGTTGCAACGGATGACGGCATCTAGCATGCTCATGTGACCCAGTTTAGCTTTCAGAACTGGGCTTTGGAGGGTTGCATGCAGTGCACGCTGCAGTCGCTTGACGATTGGTAAACGAAAGGCTGCAGTTGAAACTGACATGTTCCCGTGTCATTTTCCATGCACCGCTTGTACCAGATTGGTGTGTCAATAGATTGAACCCTCAGCTCACGCAACTCACTCCATGCTCTAGACTTTACCTACTGTACTTACGTACTTGGTTCATCTTGATTCCAGTCGCGCAATGACTACCGTACAATTGCC